CCGAGACTTGCCGAGTGTGGGTGGCAAAGTTGAGGTGCACACCCCCCCCCTATAATAGGCTAATATGCCATTTTGAAAATTGTACAAGTAGATACACTTTTTGTGAGTAGACATAAGTCCGAAAAATGGACCTAGAGATCGAATTTTGATGCGAATTTTTGCAGTATTCCTTATAAAAATAACAAAACCCTGTTCCCCAAAGCTGGAAATTTAAATCAAATGGGAAGTAATTTTTTTTATTTTTCAAAGTGCCGAAATGCGAAAAATCGGGAAAAATGGAAAATGGTATCTAGAGATCGAATTTTGATGCGATTTTTTGCATGCAATCCCATATTAAAATTTCCAAGCTACCCTCAAAATTTCATTTCAATCGGACAAAGCATTGAATTTCTATGATTTTTCATATGAAGCGGGCAACACCCAAGTTTGAAAAAAGGCTTCAATATGGATGTCTTATGCCCCAACACTTTCCCAGTATATTGAGGGGTCTAATATAAGTTTATTGGTGCAAACAATATGAAATTGGCACTAGGAAAATAAAATTTGACCCATGACACCAAATCGGCCAGTGTCGACCAGCCGACCACGACCGGCACCGGCATTAGCACCGGGATCGGCACCGGCGCAACGGGACCCGGCACGGGACCGGCACGGGACCAGCACCACGACGCACCAAGACCGGCACCACCAAAGCGGCCAGTGGCACCATGCACCAGCCAAGCCCGGGCGAGCCGATCACCACCAAGCGGCCAGAGGCACCATGCACTAGCCTAATCGGCCAGAGCCGGTCACCACCAAGCCGACCAGAGGCACCATGCACCGGCCAAATCTAGCCAGTGCCGAGAGAACTCACCGGGACCGGCACCGGCATAAGCACCACGATCGGCACCATGGCACCAGGACCAAGGCCGGGACCAACACCACGGCGCACCAAGACCGGCACCACCAAACGGCCAGTGGCACCATGCACCGGCCAAATCGACCAAGCCGGTCACCACCAAAGCGGCCAGAGGCACCATGCACCGGCCAAATCGAGGCCGGTGCGGAGAACTCACCGGGACCGGCACTAGCATAAGCACCACGATCGGCACCATGGCACCAAGACCACGACCGGGACCCGGCCTGACGAGCGCACCAAGACCGGCTCCACCAACAACGATAGTGGCACCATGCACCGGCAAAAGCCGGCCGAGCCAGTCACCACCAAGCGGCCAGAGGCACCATGCACCGGCCAAATGCGGCCGTGCCGGAGAACTCACCAAGACCGGCACCGGTATAAGCACCACGATCGGCCCTAGTGCACCGGGACCGATCGCAGGGACCGGCGCCATAGCTAACCAAGACCGGCACCACCAAAGCTGGCCAGAGCCGGTCACCACCAAATTGGCCAGAGGCACCAAGCACCGACCAAATCGGCAGTGCCGGAGAACTCACCGGGACCGGCACCAACATAAGCACCACGATTAGCACCATGGCACCGGCACCAAGGCCGGGACCGGCACCACGGCGCACCAAGACCGGCACCACCAAAACCGGCAGAGCCGAGTCACCACCAAAGCGGCCAGAGGCACCATGCACCGACCAAATCTTCAGAGCCGAGTCACCACCAAGCTGACCAAGGCACCATGACTAGCACCAACATAAGCACGGAGCACCAGGACTAGCACCGGGACCGGCACCATAACGCACCAAGACCAGCACCACCACAAAATTGATCGAGCCGATCACCACCAAAGCGGCGAGGCACCATGCACCAGTCAAATCTCAGCGTGCCGGAGAAATCACCACGACTAGCACCGGCATCGGCACCACGATCGGCACAATGGCACCGGCACCAAGGCCAGGGATCGGCACCACGGTGCACCAAGACCGACACCACCAAAACCGGCCAGGAGCCATGCACCACCAAGCGGCCAGAGGCAGCATGCACCAACCAAATCTCACAGAGCCGCTCACCACCAAACTGACCAAGGCACCATGACCAGCACCAACATTAGCACCGGAGCACCGGGACTAGCACGGGACCGGCACCATAGCACACCAAGACCGAGCACCATCACAAAATTGATCGAGCCGAGTCACCACCAAGCTGGCGAGGCACCATGCACCGATCAAATGCGGCTGTGCCGGAGAAATCACCACGACTAGCACCAACATCGGCACCACGATCAACACAAGTGCACCAGGAACGAGCACCGGGACCGGCACCATAGCGCACCAAGACCGGCACCACCAAAATTGGCCGAGGCACCATGCACTAGCAAAATCGGCCGGTGCCGGAGAACTCACCAGGACCGGCACCAACATAAGCACCATGATCGGCACCATGGCACCGGCACCAAGGCCGGGACCCGGCACCACAACGCACCAAGACCAGGCACCACCAAAGCCGGCCAGAGCCAGTCACCACCAAGCTGGCCAGAGGCACCATGCGCCGAGTCACCACCAAGCTGGCCAGAGGCACCATGCGCCGGCCAAATCGGCCAGAGCCGGTCACCACCAAGCTGACCAAGGCACCATGACCAGCACCAACATAAGCACCGGAGCACCAGGACTAGCACCGGGACCAGCACCAGAGCGCACCAAGACCAACACCACCACAAAATTGATCGAGCCAGTCCCCACCAAACTGACTGAGGCACCATGCACCAGTCAAATCTGACTGTGCTAGAGAAATCACAACGACTAGCACCAGCATAAGCACCACGATCAGCACCAGTGCACCAGGAACAGCACCAGGACCAACACCATAGCGCACCAAGACCAGCACCACCAAAACTGACTGTGGCACCATGCACTAGCCAAATCTGACCGTGCCAGAGAACTCACCAGGACTAGCACCAGCATAAGCACCACAATCAGCACAATGGCACCAGCACCAAGATCGGGATCAACACCACAGTGCACCAAGACCAGCACCACCAAAACCGACCGAGCCATGCACCACCAAACTGATCGAGGCACCTTGCACCAGCCAAATCTCACCGAGCCAGTCACCACCAAACTGACCAAGGCACCATGACCAGCACCAACATTAGCACCGGAGCACCAGGACTAGCACCGGGACCAGCACCATAGCGCACCAAGACCAGCACCATCACAAAATTGATTGAGCCAGTCACCACCAAACTAACTGAGGCACCATGCACTGGTCAAATCTGACCGTGCCAAAGAAATCACCACAATTAGCACCGGCATAAGCACCACGATCGGCACCGGTGCACCAGGACCGGCACCATAGCGCACCAAGACCAGCAACACCAAAGCGGCTAGTGGCACCATGCACCGGCCAAATCGATCGTGCCGGAGAACTCAAGAGGACCGGCACCGGCATAAGCACCACGATCGGCACCATGGCACCGGCACCAAGGCCGGGATCGGCACTAGAGCGCACCAAGACGAGCACCACGAAAGCCGACCAGAGCCGGTCACCACCAAGCTGATCGAGGCACCATGCACCGACCAAATCGGCCGGGCCGATCACCACCAAGCCCGACCACGGCACCATGACCGGCACCAACATAAGCACCGGAGCACCGGGACTAGCACAGAGACCGGCACCATAGCGCACCAAGACCAGCACCACCACAAAATTGATCGAGCCAGTCACCACCAAGCGGTCGAGGCACCATGCACCGATCAAATACGGCTGTGCCGGAGAAATCACAACGACTAGCACCGGCATAAGCACCACGATCGGCACCCGGTGCACCGGGAACGACACCAGGACCAACACCATAGCGCACCAAGACCAGCACCACCAAAATTGACCAGAGGCACCATGCACTAGCCAAATCCGGCCAGTGCCGAGAGAACTCACCGGGACTAGTACCGGCATAAGCACCACAATCGGCACAATGGCACCGGCACCAAGGCCGGGATCGGCACCACGGTGCACCAAGACCGAGCACCACCAAAACCGAGCCGAGCCATGCACCACCAAGCTGGCCGAGGCACCATGCACCGGCCAAATCTCACCGAGCCAGTCACCACCAAGCCGACCAAGGCACCATGACCGGCACCAACATTAGCACCGGAGCACCGGGACTAGCACCGGGACCGGCACCATAGCGCACCAAGACCAACACCATCACAAAATTGATCGAGCCAGTCACCACCAAACTAACTGAGGCACCATGCACTGGTCAAATCTAACCGTGCCAAAGAAATCACCACGACTAGCACCAGCATAAGCACCACGATCAGCACCAGTGCACCAGGAACAGCACCAGGACCAGCACCATAGCGCACCAAGACCAGCAACACCAAAACTGATCGTGGCACCATGCACCAACTAAATCTGACCGTGCCAGAGAACTCACCAGGACCAGCACCAGCATAAGCACCACGATCGGCACCATGGCACCGGCACCAAGGCCGGGACCCGGCACTACGGCGCACCAAGACCGGCACCACCAAAACCGGCCAGAGCCGGTCACCACCAAGCCGGCGAGGCACCATGCGCCGATCACCACCTAGCCGACCAAGGCACCATGACCCGGCACCAACATTAGCACAGGAGCACCGGGACTAGCCACAGGACCAGGCACCACGACGAACCAAGACCGGCACCACCAAAGCCGGCCAGTGGCACCATGCACCGAGCATAAGCACCATGATCAGCACCATGGCACCAGCACCAAGATCGGGACCAGCATCACAGCGCACCGGGACCAGCACCACCAAAACTGACCGCGGCACCATGCACCAGCAAAATCTGACTATGCCAGAGAACTCACTAGGACCAGCACCAGCATAAGCACCACGATTTTGACGGTAGCACCAGCACCAGCACCGTAGCGCACCAAGACCAGCACCACCAAAACTAACTGACCTAGAACAAATACAAAGGCACCGCGACCAGCACCAAGGGACCAC